ACTCGTAGCGATCTTTACAGATATTTTTTGCGTAAAAAATCACGGAAATGTATTGGAGATCTACAAAAATCTGAATATTTTTTGCAGAGCAGAAAAATTATAAAACTTTATAATACCCAAACTCTTTCTCTAAATATTGATAGTTTTTTTAGACAAAATGGTTTTCGCCATTTTTTTTAACAAAGCATTCCATTTCAGGTCATGTCTCGTTCAAAAAGGATTTTAGAAATGGCCATGAAAGAGAATATTTTATTCGAGATGCCACGCATCTTAGAACCAACCCAAAATAATAATATATCTGATTCTGTGCCTCTACCTCAGGAATCCTACCATGTTATGGAAACACTTACAGCAACTTCTTACGATCAATTATTAACTAAATCAGAGTCATCTGAGATCCATCCCTGTGAATCTGAATTAATTCTTTCCAATTTCACGAACGATTTAAGAGTCATGGAACATTCAGATATAGGGCAGTCTGTCGATGGAATCGGTTTGAGCTTAGATGAAAGTTCAAATAAAGTACTCCAGCAACTGTACCCAGAATCAGTAGGTTCTATTTGTGACGTTGCACCGATGATGGGCGTGATTCAAAATGCACTGAATCCTGCTTTTATTCCTTATGAACCTCATGAGTCAACATCAAAGGAAGAGGAAATATTGACCAAGAAAGCTTTGCATATTGACGGGTGTAACAAAGATCCGAAGTGCATTCCTTACGAACAAGATGAGTCAGCAGCAAATGAAAAAGAAACTCTTATCAACAAAACTTCATCTATTGCTGAGTTTAGCAAAGATCCGGATTTCATTCCTTACGAACAAGATCAGTCAGCGTTAAGTGAAAAGGAAACTCTGATCAATAGATCTTCATCTCTTCCTGGGTGTAGCAAAGATCCAGACTTCATTCCTTACGAACCAGATGAGTCAACAGCAAGTAGTGAAACGGAAGACGTTGTCCGTAATAAGTCGCATGAAGTAAATGAAAATTTAGAGACTACGACGATCCCTGCTAGAAAAAGAAAAAAGCGACACCACGTTGATCAGAAAACATGGTGCAAGAATGTAAACCAACTAAAAAGAGCTAAGGGCGAAGAATACTTTGGGAAAAAGAAGGAAGGTGATAAATGGAATTACAAATATCCAGGCCAAAACGAGAATTAAAGGCACGATGCCACTGTAAGATTTCAAGTAAAAAATCCTTGAAAAGAACAGTAAAATGCATAGAGTTTTCTGAAGAAGATAGGAACCAGATATTTTCCAAATTTTGGGAACTTAGTGATGCTGAAAAGAAGATCTATGTAAATATGCTTATGACAGCTGAAACAACCAAAAGGTCAAGAGATAGAAAAGAAGAAAACAGTTCAAGACGACAGTCAAGCTTTATCTATTATTTAAAGAAAAAAGAAGAAAAGCTACGAGTCTGTAAGAAAATGTTTTTAAATACGTTATGCATAGGTGAATGGACTGTAGCTTCTTGAAAAAAGAAATGAAGAAAACAAAGTAGATGTGGTGTTTGAAATACATAACGAGACTTTGCAAGATCATACACGAGAAGTTTTCCAGAAGAGAAGGAACTCCGTAGTGGACTTCTTTAATAGTATTGCTAAAATGGAGTCCCATTATTGCAGAGCCCGAAGTCAAAAGCAATATCTTGAACCTATCTGGCGTTCAAAAATGCATTTGTATAAGGTATATTCCGAAAGTTGGTGCTCTTTGAACAAAATTTCGCCAGTGTCAACAGCCCTTTTCTCTAATATCTTTGAGGATATGAACCTAAGTATTTTTGCGCCAAAAAAAGATGAATGTAGCACTTGTGTCGCAAGAAATACAGGCAATCTGAGCGAAGGAGAATATGAATTACATCAGTTGAAAAAAAATGAAGCCAGGGATGAAAAAAACAAAGATAAGCAAAATGAAGCTAATAGAGTATATACAATGGATCTTCAATCCGTCTTATTGGCGCCAAAGTCAAATGTTTCTATGCTCTATTATAAAAAAAAGCTTATCGTTCACAATTTTACGATTTACAATATTAAAACAAAACAAGGCTTTCGTTTTGTATGGAACGAAAGTGAGGGTAAATTAGGGGCAAATGAGTTCTCAACCATTATCTCTTATTTCATAGAACAAGAAACGCGCGATCTGCCAAAAAATCAGGAGCTAATATTTTACAGCGACGGATGTTGCAGTCAAAATCGTAATGCAACTCTAGCCAACGCCATCTTACATGCTTCCATTGCTAACAATATTACTGTTATCCAGAAATATTTGGAACGTGGGCATACGCAAATGGAAGCAGATTCAATGCATTCTCTTATAGGACGTTCACTGAAACATCGAAAAATATAAGAATCCAAAAATTCTCACGCCCATACTATATAATGAACGTTTAAAAATATCAAAAGATAAGTATGAACAGTTACAGCAAATAAAGGGTTGCTTGCAAAAAGACTATCATTCATTCTATGATTTCCTGCCGTATGAATAATAATTAATAATATAAGCTTAAAGTATTTATAATTACGAAATCGAATTTAGTTAGGTTCTTTTTACTCTTGAATTTGTAGTTATTTAAATGTGAATAAAAATTATTGTTTTTTAGTAGTGTTATTTTATTTTTTGAAATTAAATTTAGAAAGCCCTGTTATGAACCAATACTTGTTTTGTTGAGATTTTACCAAAGTTATAATTTACGTGGTTTTCTATTAAGTTTTTATAGTAAACATCAGGAGTTACCAGGTGAACTCATGTCGTATACTTTCCTCGTAACTCCAGTTTTTTACAAAAATATACAGAAAACCATGTATCTCCAGTAAAATTTTAATGAAATTAAAATGGGCTACGAACACTATTATTACAATGTCAACCAACATACAGAATATATCTATTGAATTTTTTTTTAAAGATTACATATAATAAAATAGATAGAAAGTTTTTATTATCTCCTGTAAAATTTTCGATTTTGGAGATACGAGGTTTGCGAATTAGGGTAACGCTGGGGTAACGATATAGCGAATAGATGGCGCTAATAAACAAGACAAGTGAACTGTAATAAATTAAGTTTGACATCTAGCGAATAGATGCGCTAATAAAAATTAAATATCGAGACAAGTGAGCTGTAACAAATGGAGTTTGGTATCTTTGGCATCTAGCAAATAGATGGCGCCAATACTAAGAAATTTAAATAAAAATAGACTTATAAATTCAATTTTATTAAAGGGAATAAAAAATGCTACAACATATTATGTACAATATTAAAGGTTTATAAAATGTTTCCATGCTTTTGTTCACCACTGTACATACAAAGCAAGTTAAATAAAAGCTTGTAAAATAAGCTAGGGACTGCTTCCCATTGGTAAAGATACCTCTTACCATAACAACATTAGACACCCGAGCTGGTTTAAACTCTCTCTTCCCCTTCTGGTCCTCAAAACCTACAATATTATCACGACCACCATTATAAAATAAATTGCACTTGGTATTCGTATCATCAATACATAGAACACAATATCGATTAAGTTCATCCGGTTCATCGAAACTTTCAACTTTTCTTTTTCAGAGTCTCAAATACACTAAGATTTTCTAAGCCAGGTTTGATATCGATGTCATATATTCAATGTCTTAATGTCTCTGGGTCTGGACGTTGAAGGCAAAATAGATTTGTCAAGAGCGTCTTGTATATTTTTGACCCGGAAAAGTATATAGCCAAATATTTATATTTAAATTCATCAGTTACTTTTCTTCCTTTAGCTGATGTGTTAATTTGTGCAATTTGAATATTAACAAAATTTGCTATGTCCATTGATGAACATAATTTGAACGTAGCCTCTTTAGATTGTTCAATAGATATTTTATTTGGTATTTCTTTAATTCTTGTTTGTAACTCCTGGCATGTTTTTTTAATTTTAATTGTCTATTCTCTACAGTTAAATGTTTAATTGATTTTTACATTTTTACTTTTCGAGGAGTATGCGCGGTTAACGATTCATTTGTTTAGATAAAAGTATTGTGTAAATAAAATTCAGTATTTTTTAATACGACCCTGTCTATCAATAGTTTATTTTCTGGGAAATTTTTTGATACGTTTTAATCCGGCCCTGACTCGGCACCCATAATGGTGTTTTCAAGGTCAAATTTTATAGAAATTTTAAACAATGGAATCTGGGCAGAGTTAGCCTGCCGTGTGATTTATATGCCGTGGTTATATGCTATAAATACTGGTATTTTATTGAGTTATTTTTAACTTTAAATACGTCATATGAAGTTTTTTTTTGATCAAGTTTGCTCTGTGAAATGACAGACAAACAATTCATCAACAAATAAATCTTAGAAGGAAAAGATTAAACGGCTCAGCCCTCAACAACTCGCTTCCGTATAATCTTTTCCTTCTTTTTTATGCATTTCCCTCACTATTTCTTTCTTGTTCAAATAAATTTTATTTATTATTATAGCAATCATACAAGTTCAATTAAAATGGCAGTAGACCGAGCCTGGAGAACAGTGCAGTCCTTTAGTAAAATATTTGGGTGATTTTATATTTTTTTTTGCTTTTCTTCTTGATTTTTTTAATTTTTATAAAGATTATTTCTCACGTATGTGGAAGAACGTTGAAAAAAATAAAACTGATTTGGTATTTTTGAAATTCTGGAAGATTTACAAAAAAAATGAAATATATTCATGTATGGAATTATGAACCTCCTCAAATAAATAAGTATTTAACATTCTATTAATCTTTATTTAAAGTATAATTTCCAGAAATGCCTGCAATCATTACTAATTACTAATATTATTCTATATAATAGGTCCAAAATTTGCTGCGTAAAAGGAATTATCAAGTTCCTGACAGCTCATCTAAGTATTTGTATATTAGTTGCTCAATTCTTCGAAACACGCACATAAAGGGACAAAGAAGCATACCCTGTATTTCTAATATAAATAGAAAATATATCTATAAGTGTCCCTTTCTTTGATAAGATTAACAAAATATATAAATAATCTGATATATTTGGTATCAAATCAGTACAAAAATAATTTTGCATTGTGTGTTGTTTACATTATAACAGTTTATTAAGTGATTTTAATTCTACGAAAAATGGTTAAAGTAGTAAAAGTAATATTTATCAAAACATTTTGAAATTTTTTTTTGCTAAATATTATAATTTAAATTTTTAGTTATTCGATCAAGATTTTGATCAAATCAAAAAAGAGTGCTTGGAATCGGGATTTCTATTTCAAGATTCAAAATTCCCAAACTTTTCTAAAAAATATCCAGAGTGTGAAATAAAAAGGCCAGGGGTGGGTAATATATGCTTTTAAACAAAAATAGTGATTTAAAAAAATGAAATATTGTACAGGGTGTCTCATTTTCGTTTGTTTTATGGGGTTCTGACATCACGATGCTACTTTATTTTATGAAACTAAAGATTCTACACATAGATTTGTCCTATTCTTTTTAGTTCCTGAAATACAGGGCGAATTTGAAAATGTTGCATTTTTCGACCCCCCGCTTGGTGCATTCTCCGCCGGTGCTGCCACTATCGGAGAATATCGTAAACAATCCCTGTATACAAATACACGGGTTTAAATAGCGAGTATACGAAAAAAAAACTGATATAATTATTCTAAAAGTGTTAGGGCAAGTATAATTTGTGAAAATTCTAAAAAAATAAAAAAGGAAATATTTTATTATCTTCAGAATGTCTAACTATTATAATTTATTATTGAAGTTAAAACTTTTTGGCTGAGTTCAGCTACTGTAGCGAGCATAGTTTTACGCACCGGTTTTGATAGTGGGGACATAACTTGGGCTATTTCCGCTATAATAAAATTTAAAGAAGACGTCCATTCTTCTCACAGAGACCTACCTGGTTTAAATTAAAAAAAAGTTGGAAAAATACTCAAAATCTCGGTCTCAACGTTTATACAGGGTGGCGCACCTCATTCGCCTCGGTTGATTATACGAAAACGGAAAGATGTAGAAACAAAATATTTTATGGGTATACGTGGGGAGGCAAAGTGCACAATTTAAAATTATTTTGAAATATACAGGGTGTTTCAGAACTAAGATCTATACCAAAGTTATATTTTTTCTTATGGAACACCCAGTATTTTATTTCATTTTTGGATTCTTGAGCCCAAAAAAAGGCGTTTATTATAAGGGTTAAATATGTTTAAAATCTTTGGTTTTTGAGATATTCAAAGATATTTAAATTTGCATATTTAATATTGCATGCTACAATAGAATAGATTATTAACACCCTGTGCATTACATTTCAGAATTAATTCTTGTGCTAAGTTTAAAGGTAGAGAAATAGACTTTACTGCAAAATGTGATTGCTTCCTTAAATTTATATAGGGGTATCAAAAAATGCTGATCTATTTTAAGGATTTATTTTACATAAAAACTTCCTTATTTCAAATACAACACCCTGTATTTTTTTTAAATAAATCGAAGCAGATTTAAATTATCTTTAAAACTATATTAGGGTTTCCTATACCTATCTAGCTCAGATTTTCAATAAAAAACGATTTTTAAATAAAATTGCAATCAAGGTGGCTGGTGTCGCCATGGCAATTTTCTAGTGACAGTTAGTAACTATTTTTAAAGTCGACAATAGTTTATGGGCCTAATTTAAAATTATTTAAATTTATAGCAGTTTACTTTTATTTAAAATTTATCTTCAATAGTTTAAAAGTAATATTTTTTAAATATGTATTTATTATTCTACCAAGGAAAACGAAGAAGTAGTCTTCGATTTATTTTACAATGACTTGTAGATATATGGATTTTCTTTAAAAGAGCCAATTACGGCAAATTCATTTTCTTCACTTCCAATGACAGGTTTCTGTCTAATAAGTTTTTTATAAACCACACTACCAGCTCTGCGATATAGGGCAAATAGTTTTTCAAAAGAGCGTTTATCAGGAAGACTCCTATTTGGATATCTTTGAGCATAAGCCCTTGAGGCCAAGAAGCAATTTTCCTCACAAAATAAAATCACTAGTAACATATCCATTCATTCCGCCAGCAGATACTGCTTTATTTTTCTTGATAAAATAGTGAATACTTACTTATATTAAACTATTGTAGGTAAATTTAAGTAAACTGTTATAAATTATAAATAATAATGTTCATAAACTAATGTCGACTTTAAAAATAGTTACTAACTCTCACTAGAAAATTGCCATGGCGACACCAGCCACCTTGATTGCAATTTTATTTAAAAATCGCTTTTTATTCAAAATCTGAGCTAGATAGGTATAGGAAACATTAATATAGTTTGAAAGAGCATTGGAATCTGCATCGGTTTATTTAAAAAAATATAGGGTGTTGTATTTGAAATAACGAAATTTTTATCTAAAATAAATCCTTAAAATAGATCAGCAATTTTTGATACCCCTGTATAAATTTAAGGAAGCAATACCATTTTTCAGTAAAGTTTATTTCTCTACCTTTAAACATAGCACAAGAATTAATTCTGAAATGTAATGTACAGGGTGTTAATAATCTATTCTATTGTTGCATGCATATTTAAATATCTTTAAATATCTCAAAAACCAAAGATTTTAAACATATTTAACCCTTACAATAACTGCCTTTTTGGGCTCAAGAATCCAAAAATGAAATAAAATACTGGGTGTTCCATAAGAAGAAAATATAACTTTGGTATAAATCTTAGTTCTGAAACACCCTGTATATTTCAAAATAATTTTAAATTGTGCACATTACCTCCCCACATATACCCATAAAATATTTTGTTTCTAAATCTTTCCGTTTTCGTATAATCAACCGAGGCGAATGAGGTGCGCCACCCTGTATAATGTTAAACAGTGACACGTATTTCGCTCATACGAACATCATCAGACAAATACAACTAAAATTAATATACACATACGTTCATATTTTACATATTAAAACAACACTAGTGTATGTTTTGGGAGTACGGTCGGAATTTTTTGAAATCAACTGAAATGCACCAAGCTTATAACTTATCGAAAAGGTGACCACCAGTTCTATAGAGTTTTTTACGTAGAATTCAGTGGCGTAACTAGATTTTCGGTGGGAGCTTTTATGCTTGAAGTACGACCCAAACATAAACATATTTTGATTCCAAAAATACGTAGTAGTTCTATGTCCACGGAATATTGGGACACTCTGTATTACAAATTGAATATTTTATGATATTGGCAGTGATTTCATTTAAGACACCCACCCTGTATATTTTTAGGAACTATGTGACGATCCACATTTTTTCTTGAACAAAATATCGAGGTTGGACGTACAGCAAGGAGCTTTAGGTGACTGTTGGATGATATCTGCTATAGCCAATCTAACTCAGCATCCAAAATTATTCGAACGAGTTGTTCCATTGGATCAGCATTATGGATCAGATTATGCTGGCATTTTTCGCTTTAGGTAAGCCTTAACACTTATATAATATGATCAAAAAAAGACGTCACAGTAAGCCCTTTGAATGACCAATTTATTTCTTTATTTCTGGCTGATTTAAAATGAATTTTAAGCCTTTTTTTGATCGTATGGTATCTGTACTTTGAACAATCCTTATATCTAATAGATCTTCGTTTGTATATGCATTTTGAACTAATTTTGGTTATTTAGGTTTTGGCAATATGGTAAATGGGTAGAGGTAGTAGTGGACGATCAGCTATTAGTTGAAAAAGGTGAATTAAAGTTTGCCAGATCTACTAAAGAAGGAGAATTTTGGATACCCTTGTTGGAAAAGGCTTACGCAAAGTAAGTTTTTACTTTTTATTATCGCGAACCTTAATTATCAAAGAAATTGTAACAACAAACCAAAATAATTTAAAAAAATTCTTTAGGACAATTTCTATATGGCTTATAAATACTTGAGCTGCATTATTTTTAGAAAATACTATTTTTTCCATAGCAACTGATAAAATTGCCTTATATTTATCAAAAATAGTACTTTAACCGCAAGGGTAGATTAAATGATACTTTAACAACGAGGTAGTGTTAACAACGAGGTAGGTTAAAAACTTATTTCTTCTCGCACGTTTTTTAATTGCTTCCATTTTTGAAAATGTTTGTATTCCTTTCCATAAGTTATTCGGGATTTAAATGGAAGTAGTTTGGATATGCCGTTTGTCGCCACAGCCTGAATATCTGTTGGTAATTTATTTATTTCGTTTTGAGCCATTTCTGGCTCCAATTAAATCAGCAGTCGACACGAAAGAGAATTAAAAAATATCGACTCAAAACAGACAACTAAAAAGACGGCTTTATTTATTTGTCAAATTACATAGAAACCAACGCGAACCCAGCACAATATTTTTTCTACTCGTAGTAAATTCCTTGAAATAATAATTTCTGAATATTTTTTAAAACCTAACTCGCTAATTAAATAAATTATGGTTTTATACACGATGATAAAATTGCATTATCGTCTCCCGAAATTAATTCACTGGCGATTTCATCGCTCGTGAATTAATCCTTTCGGTCGACGATAAAATACCATTTTATCGTCTTGTATAAAAAATAACTATTTTTTCCTTCAGGTTATACGGCGCATATGATAAATTAGATGGAGGGGACCCAGGAATTGCAATGGAGGACTTCACTGGAGGTGTAGCTGAACAGTTTAAACTGGACAAACCTCCAACTTCTTTGTTTGATATTATGAACAAAGCACACGTTAGAGGTTCCTTGATAGCCAGTTGTATCTATGTAAGTATAGATATCATTTTGATAATCCTGCTGCTAATATTGTCTCGTCTTGTCTTTTACAAAACAGACTTTATGACATTATTTTCTACTTTTAACTGTATATTTTTAAAAATATTAAGCTGCATTCAAAACGTCGCAATTAGTGGAATAAATTACTGGTTTCAATTAAGCTTCATTCAGAACCTCGCAATTAGTGTAATAAATTATTTATTGGTGTCAATTAGCGTAGAAGTTTGTTTTTTTAATTTCAATATAAGTATTCAGAACGTCAAAATCAGTAGTAGACATTTTCAATTAGTAGAAAAAGTTATCAAACTTTTAACTTTTCCATTAATTATACTTCAAAATTTGCGACAAATATCATTTTGGTTTTGATTATCTTCGATCAAGAGAAATTGTGGTTAGAAATCAAAAGGTGATTGTTTTATTATCTAAATAATAAGCTTTTTCTATGGATACAACTGGCTAACGCAAGCTGTTGCTAGGATATTCTATTCATTTTAATTGTGTTTTTTAAACATTGTGAATGACTGTAAATTGAAAAGTATAAAGTGTAATAATTGAAACCACTAATTTATTCCACTAAATGGGAGGTTCTGGTTCTGATTGAAGCTTTACACTTTATACTTTTTAGTTTACGATCCCATATAGTGTTGCACAAGACAAAAATTCTTGTCTTGAAAATCAATTTCTTGTCTTGTCTTGAAATTCAAGACAAGAAATTTTCAAAATTCAAGACAAGAAATTGTCAAATTTGCAAAGTCTTGTCTTGCAGATTTCTTGAATGGCAAAGTCTTGTCTTGTCTTGCAAGACTCTTGAAATTTCTTGTATTAAAAAATTCTACATTCTAACAAAAAGGTAATAATATTTCTATATTTTATTTCATAGAAAGTGTCGTATACAAAATGTAATTGTTGCGCGACGTATACAAAATATAATTGTGGCGCGTGTTGCGCAACGAGTAGCCAATGTATGGTAACGGTTGATGCGTTGCGCAATTGTTTGATAAGTTTCAAGAATGTTTGAATTATTTTGCGCAACAGGCGTTTGCGCAGCGCGTTGTGTAGGTAGTGTATGTGTGTTGTGCTTCGTTGTGCAACATTTTAGTTCTTTCATCCAAATTCTTTGTTTTCTTTTTCGTTTTTTGGTATTATTGACAGCATCTTGGGTATATACGATAATAATTGACGCAATGGCAATTGAGGACATGATTGTTTCTTACACAATGCACAACTTTTAATAAAAAGTTTGATCAAAATTTTACTAAGTGCATGGATGCATTTGTGTAACGGAACGTTGCGCATCGCTTTGTTGCGCAACTTGTTTGATAATGTATGGGTCGCTTTAAGTTATTTAAGTATTATTCATTACCAAAAAAAGTTAATATGAAATATGAGCAGTATAAATAATATAAGTGTCGACAGTGAAACCAAAACAACTCGAAACACTGGCTATAGAAAAAAAAATTAACACTGGTCAATATTAATGCTGGGTTTATACAAAATTTCCATAAGTCGTAATCATAATCACAGTCTTAATCGTCGTCATAATCACATCGCAATTTTAATGTGCGTTTATAGAGCATTTTCATAATCATAATTTTTATATCAGGGAAGTTAGGTAACATAATTAACGGCTAAGTTCATGGTAGATGTCAACAGGTTTATAAGAAGTGGATAGTTTAACTTTTATGATTATGACTATGATTGTGATTACGACTATGTAAATGTAGTATAAACCCGGTATAACTTGCGCAAAGACCTAATTATCACTTAAAAAAATGTATCATTACTAACTTTCAAGAAATCTTGCAAGACTCTTGAAATTTCTTGCATATTAAAGCCTTGTCTGGTCTTCAAATTCAAGACAAGAAATTTTGAAAGTCTTGTCTTGAATTTCTTGCAAGAGTCTTGGTCTTGCAAGACTTTTTCAAGACTCTTGTGCAACACTAATATCATTCACAATGTCTAAAAAATACAGTTAAAATTAATAGAATATTCTAGCAACAACTTGCAGTAATCAGTTGTATCCATAGAGAAAGTCTAATATTTAGCTTATAAAACAATAACCTTTTGGTTTCTAACCTCATTTTCTTTTGACGGATGATAAGCAAATGCCAAAATGACATCCCTCCGAAATTTTGAAGTATGATTAGAGGAAAAGTCAAAAGTTTGATAACTTTTCTACTAATGGAAAATGTCTACCACTAATTTTGACGTTCTGAACGATTGCATTGAAGGAACAAGCTTTGCAGTTCTTGAACGATTGCATTGAAGGAACTTTAAAGGAACAAGCTTCTACGCTAATTTAAACCACTAATTTATTCGACTAATTGCGAGGTTCTGAATGAAGCTTTACATATTTCGCTGTACTACGGCTTATTCAGGTGACAATAATGCTAGAAGTCTTAGTAGGCAGTCTAGATTTTCGTCTAAAAATGTTACAGTAATGCCAAACATGTACTCGTAGTGTTTTTGAAAATATATTATGTGGAAGGGAAAAATAAATAAGTTTTATTTTTTTACAAGTTTCTTATTGACAAGAATAAATTACCAGGAAGCGTATTAGTAATTATTTATAGATATATATAATAGATATACAACATAAACAAACTCTTATCTTGTAAACTCGATTGATTTTTAATGCTATCACAATACATATCAATTTATCTTTTAAAATGCTTTGATTTTTAATGGTATCAACTTGTTTAAGTTAAGTTGTGACACATATTTTAGGAATATATTATTAAAAAAAGATACAGGCGGTAAACTCAAAGTACTGATATTTTAAGTACTCGCACAACATTAAGAAATTAAAATCATATTTTTGTGATTCATGATCTTATCTTTGTTAGTAAATAGAAAAAATATTTTTGAAGAGGAAAAACTTTATGCAATGTTAAAAAATTACGGAGAAATATACAAGATGGTCTTTTTAAAGAATTCAATTTTTCTTATTGAACAGGGTGATGGTCGTGAAGCTATAACAAGAATGGGTTTGGTTAAGGGTCACGCTTACAGCATTACCAAAGTTCACTATGTGGAACATTCCAGCCTTCCTGAAAGGGCTAAACTGATACGTGTAAAGAATCCATGGTCGAATGAAATCGAATGGAAGGGTGCATGGAGTGATGGGTAAGAAACTAAAATCATTAACTTAAAATTATTTGACTTAACTGGTATATTGACGTACATCTAAAACGAATCACTCAGAGTGAAATTATCAAGTGTAATCATCCTTGTTCAGAAGTATCGAAGCTGAACAAATTAGGCAAATAAAATAAAGTCCTTCTACTCTGGGTGCCCGCTCACTAAGGGATTAAAATAGAATTTAGAATAAGTGGAAGGGGGGTTAATCTCTACGACCTTAGAGATCTATTGTGTCCCCCTTTCTTGAGTTATAATTCATCATACAGTCCCAGGACTTCCTACGGAGACCAGTGTCCCTCACAGTCGAGGAGCTACGACCCAGGCCGGGTAGACGAAACGTTAGCTTGTGTCGTCTGTTGGGATAAGAGGTAGGAGGTAGGCTCCCGACCCTTGGAGGAGGTGGTAGCTTGTATGCCACTTGCGGAGGATAGTCTCACGCAAATGTCAGCCACCTCTCCTGTAGTTCCCTTGGGGTTTGGCCCCTTCGAACTTTCATTGTTACTGTTCCCAGTGTCGCTAGGGGGTTTCTCCACAGCTTCACCGGTGATGTTTTTATTACTATTATTACCAGATCTCATAGTATTCCTATGAGTCGCTAGGGACAGTCGGTCCACTTCTACAGAGCCCCGCATGTAGAAGTAAGGGGTAAAATACAATGGGGTGCCCCCCGGTGCCCCAAGGTTGAGGCTGTCCGTAGCCCCGCCCGGTATCGTTATATGTCTTGGTGCAATTCCCTGGCCACGACACTACAGTCAGAGACAAGACGATGAGTGAGATGCTTTTTAGACCAAGCCAAGTGCTAGGGGGGATTCCCCCCAGCACCTGACCAGGAGCTTCCCCACCAAGGTCAACAAGGTCTTGCATCTCACTAAGGGATAGAAGGCAATGAAAAATCAAACGATCTAGCTAGTAAAGGAGCGAACACTCCACTAACTGGACTGGAACTGTTTTGCTTTCCAAGTGGAAACCAACTTAAAAAAACAACCTGGAATGGGAATCCCCAAACGGTTTAAAATGTCCGAAATAATTTCGCAGAACTTACGACCGAGAAAAATTAAAGATGGATTTAAGTAAGAACAATCTTTGGATTGTCATGGGGTTTCTAACAGGACACTGTCTCCTCAACGAACACCTCAGTAGATTGAAGCTCAGAAACAAGGGCGAATGCAGATTTTATGGGGAAAATGAGGAAACAACAGAACACCTCATCACTGAGTACGCCGAGACGACAGCTGTTCGTGCCATAAACTTTGGTACAGCTGATGCCGGAGATGTTAGCATCATCAGCAGATGATTAAACTAAACTAATATCTACAGGTTGAGCGTTTATACTAAGGGCTGACAAAGGTTAATATTGGGTCGAAATTTCCGTATGTAAGAAGAGTACAATGCAGACACTATGTGAAAATCTTTATAAATAAAAAAGTTACACGCTTGCTGAAAATTTCTATGCACTAAAAGTAAATGGATGGGTTGTTTAAAATTTTTGGAAAATGGAAAAAAACAACCTTATCGAATTTTTCTTATTTAAACATATTGTAAAAGATCCGATTTTCAAAATAAAAATAAAGTTTCAATATCTAAAGTTGGTCTTAAGTTATGGCTTATGTGTTAAAAAGTTTATGGTTATGTTTAAATTTCTTAGTTCATAGAGATTATTATAGAACAATAGGATTATTACGAGATACGTATAAAAATTACAGAAAATACAATTTACATTTCAATTAAAATGACAGTCAACAACTACAGCCACTAATGTAGTTGTCATTCTCTATTCTCTCGTTATACACACTATAATGTGTCATATCTATTTGTTTAAATTTTTATCTGTAACTTTTAGTTCTAAAGAATGGACGTCAATACCAAAAGAGGAACGTCAAGAGCTAGGTCTGGTTTTTGATAATGACGGTGAATTTTGGATCTGCTACGAAGATTTTCAAAGGAATTTCAGCACCGCTGACATATGTCACTTGACGTTGGATTCTTTGTCGTTGTTTCAAGATGGCGATAAGAGAAACTGGGTGATAACAACAATACATGGTAAGACAAATAAATATACAGGGTATATGAATATGCGCAAAAACTCATTATGCGACTTATTTTTAAATTAATCGTATTTAATTTAATTTGCAATTTTTCTACAATCCAGTGGTACATTTTATACAGAGTGGTCCGAACTGTATTCCGGAAACTTCCGCCAATAAAAATAAGTAAAAAAGTTCGTATAAATGTATGTCCTAAAATGCTTAGTTTCGGAGATACAGGGTGTAGAAGTTTCATTTATATTTCGATTTTTTCTAAATAATTTCTGAAGCAACGTCAATATTTGGATGAAAATTAGCGTCTGGGAGTTTTTTTAACATGAGAAATTTGATTTTGATGTCAATATGACTCCTACTTGTAGAGGGCGCCACCTACATATTTTTAACTGGTTTGAAGAGCAATAACTTTTCGTCCGTACCTGTATAAAATTACTGTGTAAAAAATATACATTCACGACGTTTTTTACGTAAAAAAGGTCTCTTGGAAAAAATCGCTACGAGTAATGGTTCTCGGGATATTTGGAATCTAAATTATTGTCAATAGCTGTCATGATTGACAAGAATTAAACATGTTGACTAAATAATAGTTATTAGACTGGAATCATAAATTTGAAATGTTTTTGTCCCAAAGGTTCAACAAAAACTGTTTTATCATAATTTTTTTTAAGAAAATTTTATGATTAATTTAAAAAAATAAAAAGTTCCCAAATTTACCATTTCAGTCAAAACGCAGTTAAAACGCATGTAGGTGGCGCTCCCTACAAATAGAAGTCATATTAAAACCAAAATCCAAATTTCTCATGTCAAAAAACTCCCAGACGCCAATTTTCATCCAAATATTGACATTATTTCAAAAATTATTTGGAAAAAATCGAAATTAAAATGAAATTTCTACACCCTGTTTCTCCAAAACTAAGCATTTTAATACATACCTTTATACGAACTTTTTTTACTTATTTTTATCTGCAGAATATGTTGCCGAAGTTTTCGGAATACGGTTCGGACCACCCTCTATATCCCAAATAATTCAATTATTTTCGTTTATAGGTTCTTTTAAGGACAAAAAGAGTCATGTTGTGACTCTAGCAGATGTCGATGGCAAAGAAGACAAAAAATGTACCCTCGTAGTAGCCCTAATGCAGAAAACCAATAGCACAGATAGACTTAGCTTTGACAGCTTTATCACTTGTATTATTAAAGACGTAAGTTCATTTTACTTTGCTGTTACCATTATTTTATAGACTATCAATATTCTTTACAATGGAGTTTTAGATTTAACTGTTTTTCTGAATAAAACTCAATTAATTATTATAAATTATTTTTGGAAATTAGAAAACTGATTATTTTTGATGATTACTTTTTCAACATTTCAAACTATTTAATACCTCTGTTAGTAAGAAATTTCATTTCAAATATGCGCACATAGTGCACACACAATCTTTTTACGTTGTTGATTCTCATGTGTTTATTTGTTGCAGTTGGCTAACAAGGAAGTGTTAGGAACTGATCCAATAATCAACACGAGAGAAACCGTCCAAAGGCACGAATTGTACCCTGGAAAGTACGAAATTTTACCCACAATTCAAGGAGATGCTAAAGAAGAATATTTACTACATATATTTACAGAAAATCCCCACCATATTGAATAATAATTATTATCTCTATCTTGACATTGTATCATTTTATTCATTATTTATTTTTTCTGTTTTTGTCATCATTAATCGTTTTATTTGATTTTTACCATATAATTATTTTATTTTGTACCCATTAAACTTAGACCACCTTGTATTTTGGACAGCTTGTGTATTAGCTGTAATAATTATTTGTCCCTTGTATTTTGGACAGCTTGTGTATTAGCTGTAATAATTATTTGTCCCTATATATAAATTTTGTAATACAATAATAATACTTCCTTATATTATGTTGTTTAATATTTTTGAATTCTTATGAAGAGGATTTAAATGGTTGTAAATGGCGCCCTCCATACATTAGTATGATAACTAACGTAACGTAAATGTATAGATTCCTTTCTTATCTTAGTGGTATAGTCGTAAGGTGGAGCCACAAACCCTAAATTTTAATTTCTGGGTATAAACATAGGATGTTTATTAGAAAACGATATACAGGGTGGTGTGAACTGTATTCCGGAAACTTCGGCAGCACATCCTGCAGATAAAAATAAGTAAAAAAGTGCGTATAAATCTGTCCTAAAATGCTTAGTTTTGGAGATACAGGGTGTAGAAGTTTCATTTTTATTTCGATTGTTTCCAAATAACTTATGAACGTCAATATTTGGACGAAAATTGATGTCTGGAAGTTTTTTGACATGAGAAATTAGATCTTGAAACTTTTTTACTTATTTTTATCTGCAGAATATGATGTCGAAGTTTCCGGAATACAGTTCGGACCACCCTGTATTATAACTATTTGAAAGTATTGTTTGATATTTATCCTGGACTCTATTTTGAAAATTACGTTACATATTTATAAGGAATTTTCTTTTTTAATTATCGCAGTTTTTTTTATTTAGATTTTTCTAACATGGACCAAAAAAAAAACGTTTTTATATCTATTTTTGTTGCAATAATTTTTTTAATCTAAATATTTGCTAAATGGTCCCATCACGTCACGTGTATTGTGGTGATTTAGTGTTTTTATTTTGCTGTGTAACACCAAAGGTTCCAACCCTCAACTGTAAAGTCGACTTCTTCGGCAGCAAAATTTCCGACCTACGGAATTTAGGTGAGTCACACAATTTCTTCTTAATATTCAGAAATGATACTGAAATTACATCACGTCTACATATGTCGCGAGCATTATGGTTTCTTTTACAAAACAGCGACTTTTTTTTCTTGTAGGTATACTAGCTCAGCCGGAATATAGTGATTCATCCTCGTAAAGATGTCGGTCTTGGGAATTTTTCTAATTAGATAGTATTTTTTAGTATATCTCTGTAGAATGCAGTAATGTTGCTAATAATACATAAAAATAGTATCATACAGCTTAATAAATGCACATAATTTCATAGGGCTGGTAAATCTCAATAAAAACATAATTTTTTTCTTTTGTTCTTGGGGTCGAAATACACCCCTAAAGCCCAAATTACATTTACGTGTAAACCGTAGTTTTATTTACATTTAAATTTAGAATCGTATGCTTAAAGTGTGTAAATATGGCGCCTAGTAAAAGAAAGCGTGCTGCTATAGCCGGAATTCTAATGTTAATAATGAAAAAAAGAATAGAATGTCAACAGATTGTTAGAAAAAAAAAGGCGAGTGTGGGTTAAAGCCTCTTTACAATCAAGAAGTGTTTTGGGAATTGCAGAAAAATTATTAAGCGAGTTATTAACTGAGCTAAAACATCCGCTAGAATATGCTTTATTGCTTGCATTAAGATCTCTATATTCTTTACTTCTTACATCCCATAAACACTTTATATTGTGGTAAAGATCTATAAATCCATCAATATCCTCCGGCGATAACTTACTTGCCGCCTTTTTGTCAATAAACAAAACCGGTACTCGTAATGAAATCGGATCTCACTCAACTTTGAAACAAACACGTATACGATCTACGAGTTCCTATTTACATATGCGAAATCGTATACGATTTGCTTACTCGTATACGACTTACTCGTAAATGTAATTTCGGCTTAAAAATATGTGTACTTCCCATATAACACAACACAATCCTATAGATATTTTGAGGATATCCACCAAGGATATAGTAAATATCTTAGGGATATCCAAAAACCAGAGTAGGATATTTATGGGATATCCAGATGGGACAAAAAAAGTCATCTTCAAGACATCCCTAGGCAAGCCTTTTACGATTATTTGGGATATTTCTAGAATAATACAAGGATGATGTTGGGAGCATTATAGAATATTTTTAGGACATTATATGAGGACTGTTATTTGACAATACTTACTTCATCCTTAGTTTATAGTAAAAACGTTCGCGATTTAGTTTTATTTAACCACATTTTGACGTTATTCATTGGATATTTTTGTTAACAGCTCTAAAATATACCTACATATTATCTCAATAAATTTTGCGTCAAAATTTAGAAGTTTATTTGTATGAGTTAAGAGCTTTCAATTTATACTGTACCATCGAAAAAAAACGGCGTTCAATTGGCTTGAAAATTACGATCGATGACATTCCCCATATAATTTTACATACAAAATAACAGCAATCTTCATTTCCAAGCCACCTCTGACGCCGTTTTTTTCGATCGTATGGTATTATACCAGATTCTACTACCCTTTATGGAGTCTAGCAGTTTATGTCTAGCAGCAACGGTTTTCATCAAAGTTAGCACACAGGATACAGGTATAATTTCTAACACCACACATTCCAGAAACTCAAAATTTAAAAACAAAAATAGGATTTCTGTTTGAATAGATCAAACACGAAAATGGGTTTAGGGATTAAGAACAAGCGCTTTTCAACAGATTTTTACCTATAATTTTGTCACAAATTTTTCATTATGAGACCCTGAGTCGTTCGTCGTTTTTCGACATTAGTTGAGGTTAGGATAGAATTTCTGCTAGAACAAGGCTAGAACTATGAGTATAAGAAAAAACTAAGTCAAACTCAACCAGTTTTGTTAGTTTGAGTCATTTTTAAGCCCATCCAATATCGACAAACGACCGAATTCGCCTCGAATTTCACTAAATCAAAGAACTGAATAATACACGATGCAAAAACAAACAACTGTTGAGATGGATTGTGGAAAATTTTTTGCGCGGGCGTTTTAAATTCTCTGATGTATTACTGGGAGTGGCCAAGCTCATAAATATCCAGACTATCCAGAAGATACCAACAGGATATTTTGTTGCCTTGACGTAATATTATATCTATCTGTATGGTTTATTGCATTTTATGTAATATAAAAAGTAGTACATTATTTATTTTTCGTAAATATCTAGACGATATTGTTAAGATATTTTATTATCAAGAGCATGTTTGGATATCTCAGCTGGATGTACATTAGATATACGACAGAGATATCCATAGTATATTCTATTCTGAGACATCTACAGGATTTCAGGATGTCTGGAGGCTATCCTATAGATGTATAAGATGATCTTATAACGGGACATTCCGACATTCTATGAATATCTTGCAGATATTGTGTGTTATATGGGTTATCTAAGACTCACCCTGTATATACATCAATGACTACAGAATACAAGGATACGTAACGCCCATATACGGGTTGGAGCAGAATTTGTGTTGTTAGACGCCATTTTTGTGGAAACAACGGATGCGTCACAAGCGACAATTTTAGCAATTTTTAATAGTTTGTTGTGTGTAGTGAACTGTGTATTACAATGGTGATTTGTTCAGCTTTCAAATGTAAAATCCGCAACGATAAGAAAGAGCCAGGAGTTACGTTTCATAGATTAATGAATAGTCCACTCCACCTTTTTAGCGTTTTCTTATTGAATATGATAATTATTTTTCTGTGTGATTATATGTTCATCAAGCAGCTAAGTTAAGAAAAATGTGTTACGGCACTGTTTGGAGAAATGGCAACAATCTCAGTTGATTTTTTTTTGCGGCGATCTCGTTTGGCAGCGTATCAGCGTACGGTATCAAAATGAAATCAAAAATGAAGAATAATAGTTAACTGATCCGGAAAAAAATTGGGATCAACCATCACTACTAAAACTGTACCTATGATGAGTTGTAACTCAAGAAAGGGGGACACACTAAATCTATATTTGATACCAATTTTTAGTTACTTAATCGAGAGCGCAATTTTTATATTCATTGTTGCCAACCATGAACATATTCGGCGCCGGGCTGACTAACTGGAATTTAAATTTCCCGCTGGGGATTCAGATGGTAGCTCTGCTGTGAAAAATGTCAAGTTGCCACATTTATTTATTTATTTCCTGACATTATCATTCGTTCTGACACTTTAGTTTTGTTATACGTGTTTTTGGCCTAAATAAATTATTGTGTTGTGATACTTTAAGCTTAAACATTTTTACTAGCAGACCTTGCAGTCGAACATTATTCATTTTAGAACCTCTTTTAGTGCGAAGTGTACAAGATAGTTTAATAGCCGTAAAAAAGTCATCCCTACTTTATTAGAATATTTTGAACGGGACAGCGGTAGTAATGACCATTCAATGGTGTGTTTTTGTATACAGAAGGCCCTCTCAGTTGAGTCCCGCATATTTTATAACTTTTTCTAATACTACACTTAACAGTACAGGAGATAGTGGATTAGTTTGAAGAAGTTAAGTTATGACGAATGCATTTTTTTATAATGTCAATAATAAAAAACTGTTGTAAAGACAATCCGTGACATACTGTAGTCAAATCATACGTAATTCACAAAAAGTGATTATTCCTTTTTTACAGTTCGACAAATAACATACCAGAGACGTATTTAGCAAATATAATGCCCGTGTATCGCCAGCATCACTTCCATTGTCACCAAACGGCGGACCGAAATTACAGGGCCGGCTTGGGCAATCGCGTCGATAGCAAACCGATTTGATTACTGTTATTTGAGCTGTAGGCGACGACGCACTCGCCAATTATCCCGGCCCGGCATTTCGGCATCTAATCGTCGGGTTTCGTTGACATTTAAGTGACACAACGTGACGTTACGTCACCCAGCGCGATCACCGGCTCTCTCGAATAATTTCACTTCGAATCAATTTCCCATCATTAAAACAGAACATTTTGCTGAGAATAATAGATATAAACAGTAATATTCAGTTATTATATTTACTAGGTATAGATGCATTAACGGGAATTTTTTCCTTTAAATATTTTACTTATACCATACGATCGAAAAAAATGGCGTAGAGATTTGGAAAAGAAAAGTACTGAGGAAGATTTTTGGAGGAAAGAAGATAGACAACATATATAGTCCAGAATAAACAAATGAAGA